TTAAATTTTGTTCTAATATATTTTTACATTGAAAACGATCCATGTTCTTTTCCACAAACTAAGTGCCTTACTCCATATGCATCCACAGCGCCCCAAACTATGACATTTCCACCGCCATGCTTGACAGTAGGGATGAGGTGTTTGGGCTTCTTTGCTGTATTGGCTCTTCTCCAAATTTTGGCTCTTCCATCACTTCCAAAAATGTTGTACTTGGATTCGTTTGTGAATACAACTTCTTTCCAGAAAGCAAGACCTTTATCTTTATACTTGTGGGCGAATTCCAAAAGAAGCTTTCGGTTCTTTTCACTGATAAGGAGTTTTCTGCGTGGAGTTCTGCTGTGCAATCCATTGTCATTTAAAGCCCTTTGAACTGTTCTGGAATGTACAATTTTATTCGATCGTATTGTTAATTCCGTGGCTAACTTAGTGGCATGAATTTGTGGCTTCCTACTCTGGTTTATTTTCAACACTTTTATTTTTGATAAAGTTTTCATATATGGTTTGAACAGTTGATTTAGGTAAATTAAGCAGTTTTGATATTTCACCAAATCATTTATTCTCCTTTTTGTCTTTTACCACTAGGTTTCGCACATCTGTTGAAATTTCTTTCCGAGGACCCATTGTGACAACTATACGTTGTGTAAACTATACGCGATTGTATTGAAATGTGCTTAACATAAGGCTTATGTACGGAACACAATGCTCGCGACAGACTGCAGCAGCACGACAGTGAACTGAAAATGGCGTTGTGAATCCTACTACATGAACGTTTGTGAGAATGCAGCAACATAACAATGGCCGGCATGTACTCAGTTGTCGATTTTGCATGTACACAATTTCGTTGTGGCCATACTAATACCTTGCACTTCAATGAAATTTTAATATTTTGTTCAAAGTGTGTTATTTGTTTTAAATTAACAATTGTTTTTATAAATGATGTAACAGAGCTATTTTATGCTTTTATTTGTAAAATAACGTCAGGTTTGTTAGAGCTTTGAGTAATTTTACATTTTACATATTAGTGGCATCACCACTCTACCTCATCTCTCTATCGTCCATTCTACTGTCAACTCTACAGTCGTCCTCCTGTCGTAGGAAAATATAGGATCAAATTGAAGTTAGCGACAACGACAACTAACGGCCTGCAGTCGTGTAGTCGTGCAGCTGTCAAAATAGGTCCGTCCATAAGAACGTGTGTATCTTAATATTTGACAGATGTCGTTTGCAGTATGTCGCGAGCATTGTATTCAATACATTATTGTAAAGCATAAACACAAAATAAAAATAAACGGTACTTTCCCGTTACTTTCCAGTTTGCAATGAACATAAAGTATATAATGCATGCCGTAGACTTTTGTCAATGATTTTTTTTAGTTTTTTGTGAACAGTTTGTTATGTTTGTATTGGAGTACACTTTTTGTTTTATAATTTCCTAATAAAAATGTAATTAAAGCAAAACTACAAGATTACTTTTTCCATACTATTTTTACATTCAGCAATACATCAAAAATATGGGTCGTACGTACATTTTTGTCGCCCACTGTACGTATGATAACTACGAAAACAGCACACAACAATCAATCATGCGTCACTGTAACATCATCATAGCAGATGAACCAGAAGCAGAGACCTTGTCATAAATTTCATATTTACATATGTACATATGTACATATATGTGACTCAGCTTTGTTATTTAACCTACTGGACATTGCTTATCTCAAAAGCTCAAAAACTAGACATAATACTTAATACGTACATGTGTACATATGTATGTATGAATGTTTGTTAAAAACATTCGGATCTATAGGAGAGCAACTTATAGCAGAAACAGCTCAAAACGCTACTACCTTCCTTCCTTTTCATTCCTTAGCGAGCAAAAAGTGTTAAAAGTTGAACACGTAAGAAAAACGTAGAAATGTATTTCTGAGAAAAATAAGAATTCATATTTTTGAACTAATAATTGTGGCATAAATTTAATATACCAATTAAAGTAGTAAACTTAAAATGAGCAATGATATTTGGATTTATGCTTTTATAAGTTTATTAAATTTATTCCAGCGTTTTTTTATAACAATTTCCATGATGGCCAGATCGAACAAAATAAGAACTTCCGGCATTTTAAATAAAAAAAAACCCCCAACATTTAGTACGAATAAAAATTACTTTATAGTGGTTATTTATTATATAGAGAAACTATTTGAATCCTTTTAAAGTTGATTAGAACAACTGACTTTTGACCTTTCAATGCCCCACAAAAGGATTTAAGCTTGTTAGCTCTCAATCATTAAATGTTTTTAATAATTTTCCAGTGAAAATAATATGGTGCTTCAAATTAGAAAACATTTCATCAAATACCTTTAAATTTCACAAATTTATTTAATTTTCATTGCTTTACATTTTTTACAAGTGGTCTTCAAAGATGCAACAAATCCCTCGGCTTACATATTTTTTTTGGTAAGATTTCAATCTGGCCGCTCGTTTCCAATTGATAAACGTCAAAACCTACTGAACTCGATTAGCTGTCAAAGTTCAGTAGGTTTTGACGTTTATCAATTGGAAATTGATTAGCTGTCAAAGTTCAGTAGGTTTTGACATTTAGCAATTGCAGTCTCACTCCCAGTGAGAGAGGAGTTCAACATCTCTTTGTCTCTGGTCAACAGTACGCAAAATCATATTAGGGACGTGTGAAGCAAAGATAATGAGATCCCCAACTTCTAAACGTCAAAACTTAGCGAACTTTGACAGTTGACTGGATTTAGTAGGTTTTAACGATTTGCAATTGGAATGACTGGAACGGACAGATTGAAATTATACCAAAACAAGTAAGGAAGGGCTAAGTTCGGRTGTCACCGAACATTTTATACTCTCGCATGATAAAGTGATAATCGAGATTTCAGACGTGGTTGTGAACCCATTTCACCCATATTTGGTACCATAAGTGGGCGACGCCCCGACCATTTTCAATTTTTAAAAAAAGCCTGGATGTAGCTTCCTTCTGACATTTCTTCCGTAGAATTTAGTGTTTCTGACGTTTTTTGTTAGTCGGTTAACGCACTTTTAGTGATTTTCAACATAACCTTTGTATGGGAGGTGGGCGTGGTTATTATCCGATTTCTTCTGTTTTTAAAATTTATATGGAAATGCCTAAAAGAAATTACTCTATACAGTTTGGTTGACATGGCCGAGATATGTACAAAAAAGTTAGTAGGGGGCGGGGCCGCGCCCACTTTTCCAAAAAATTATGTCCAAATATGCCCCTCCCTAATGTGATCCGTTGTGCCAAATTTCATTTTAATATCTCTATTTATGTTTCAAGTTTCATCATGATATCTCAATTTTTACTCAAGTTACAGCTTACACGGACGGACGGACAGACGGACAGATAGACATCCGGATTTCAACTCTACTCGTCACCCTGATCACTTTGGTATATATAACCCTATATCTGACTCTTTTAGTTTTAGGACTTACAAACAACCGTTATGTGAACAAAACTATAATACTCTCTTTAGCAACTTTGTTGCGAGAGTATAAACATACATATGTGAACGGAAGAATTTATTGCCGCCGTTCAAGATCGCAAATAAAAATTTAAAATAATGAAAATCAAAGAAAATGCGACATTTAAATACATATTATGAAGCGTATTGTAATTTTATGCATAATAGAATTAGTTTTCTATTACAAATGATTAAAAACATTTATTAGTTTAGAACTAACAGGCTTAATTCACCTTATTAACTTTGAAATATCGAAAGTCAGTTGCTTTGATATACCATAAAATCATAAAAAAGGAATTAAGTAGTTTCGCCATATATTAAAAGTCCAATATATAATAATTTGCAATCGTAATTAATGTTGAGTGTTTTAATTTAAATGCCCAAAAATTATTATTTTGTCCAATCTGGCCATAATGGAAAATGTTATAAAAAACGCTAATTTTGAGGTGCTCTCACACTGGAACAAGTTAAACATCCCTTTATTCCTGGTAAACACGTTGCTATTAAGTGCCCGGCCAATTCCAATTTGATGTTCTACAATTATAAAAACTTCTTTAGCATCGTTTTGATGGCTGTATGCGATGCGAAATATACGTTCATTGCAGTTAGTATTGGCAGCTATGGAAGACAAAGTGACAGAGGTACTTTATATTAAATTGTTTAACATTCGAGTATAATGCATTTATGTTATTATTTATGCAGGAATTTTTCGACTTACTCCATTTGGTCATGCATTAATACAAAACTCTGCCTTTGCCTCCACCTGTGCCACTGACTGACGTGTCACCGGAACCTTTTCCTTACTTTTTCTTACCTTTCCGTTGGAGATGCTGTATTCCCATTACGAAGTAATTTAATGCGCCCGTTTTCCGGAGCTAATCTACCACACACGAAACGTATTTTTTTTCAATTATCGATTGTCACGCGCTCGTGGGGTCATAGAAAATTCCTTTGGTATATTGACTGCTCGGTGGAGAATTTTGAAAACAACGATTGAATGTAATTCAGAAATTGTGAAAAAATTGTGTTGGCTTACATAGCCTTACACAATTTTATAATGTTGAACGATCACAATCGCTGGTATTGTCCGGAGAACTATTTAGATCGAGTGGAAGAACATAACATTGTTCATGCTGGTGAGTGGCGCCGCGAAAATGAAAACAACTCTTTACGACCAATGCGAACTTCGGTGCGTAGAGGTCCTTCAAATGCGTTTAACTTACGGGAAAGACTTGCTAACTATTTTATAAATGAAGAATCTGTACCATTCCAGAACAATTGAGACGCTATTACAGGAGGAGCATATGCTCCTGGATGACCTTGTGAGAAATAATTAACATTTTTTTTAATTCATGAGATCATTTATTTAATTTTTTTTAAATTAAAAACAATAGCATATGTTTAGAATTATTTAAATAATATATTAATTATTTCACAACATTTAAATAAAACTAAAATAATAATTTAAAAATAACTATGTACTTCATAACTCTATTATATTATAAATGTACATACATACATATATTAAATTATTTTAAATTTTATTTAATATTATGCTTCTCTCTGCACTTCAAAGACAGCTTCCAACATTTTTTCCATTGCCCTAGCTTGTTTCTTTTCGTCCATTTTATTTAAAATGGAAGCCATCAAACTACTGAATGATTGCACAACCGGGTTTGAGAATTATTGTTGTCGGGTTTGTTGGGTTGGCTGCATTGATGACCATCTATTTTTGAATAGCTCGATGACTTCCATCATTTTTTGGTCAACGTCGCTAGTAGATGACTTCGTTCGTTGTCTAACCTTTTTGGCAGCCACCTGCGCAGAGCAGGATGGTGAGGGCAACGAGGTTGATGTGGAAGGAGTCGGGGATGGTATATCCACTACGCTTTGCGCTACTGGGAAAGGAGGCGATGACGACGGCAGCGATATTGTAATAGGGCTTAATGGCGATAAGGGCCATAACGGTGATGGCACTTCCACCTCGTGCGAATTTCCTTGTGACTGCAATTGATCTTCTTCATCAGCTGCTGATTGCAACTCACCCTGATCACCGACAGCGGTTTCACAAATATTTTGTGAGCATCTGACCCTGTAAATTTAAGTTTTTATTACAAATATGTACATATACATATTCATTTAACATACTAAAACTTACGGTCGTAAAACAATATGTGGCTTTAGAAACTCCATTGCCTCCAACAAATGCCACTGCCTTTGGAATTCCATCCCACTGCCTGAGGGGGCGTTAGCCTTTCGCACTTCAATCCCGTACCGGTCCCGAAGTGTTAGCCATCTACAGCGACACATTTCTCCTTTATAAATATAATTATTTATTATTAACAACATAAACAGTTGTAAATAACAACGCAATTTACCACTTGCGTTCATTTCTCTCCCGATTTTATTCCACAAAGCATCTTTCCTGGATTGCAGCTTGTAGTATGGACTGCTCTTATTAAATAATTCATTTTTAGTCTGAACTAAAGCTATTAATTTTTCGTCATCCATTGTTTATTTATTTGCAGACACGTGCCAATAAGATTTTGATTTGACGCAGAGAACGTATAATATAGAGAGGGTTCAACCAGAGAACTTAAAACATAGAGAAGGTGCAGGTTCGATGTCGAACATTTTATAAGATTGTGATAGGGAATTCACCTCACAACCACAGAATTCACGATGTGAAATGTTAACATTTTTAACAGTTCTCCACATACTCAAACAGAGAAAATGAAGAGAAATAATATATGATTTACGGCATATGATGCCATGGCATATAAGCCCAAGCAGAGAATATGAAAAGGCATAAATATATGTACATATGTATGTATGCATGCCCATGATCCAGAGGACTTAAAACATTGAAGTTCCATATGTTCCATTTTGTATGGAAATATGTATGTATGTAGAACTTTTTTATTTATTATTTTTTAAATTATTTTATATTAATTTGATCTCATTTGATAATAAGTAATTTTAAATAAATAAAATGTACGAATGTAGCAATTTCGCGTACCCGTCGACATTTCAATTTCTCATGCTCCAATTTTTGCTTTCAACCAAGAAATTGCTTGTATGTATGTATGTGCAATGTATGCCTTTGCGTTTTGCCGTCGGCATTTCCATATTGACATGTAATTATGTATTTCTTTGTTTCGTTTTGGCCCAATTTTGTATATTAAGACAAGTRTCAATAATTACGCCAAAATCAAATAAATATTTACATATTAAGTAAAATCTTTTTCTTACATGTTCTTTGCATATGTATATGATATGTAAATAAGTATTGAGCTTTGCATACAAATGAAAGTAGCCATTTATTTCCCCTACTTATATATTGGCCCAATTGACAAGTGTCGATAATTGCGCCAAAATCAAATATACATATTATATATTCATATGTAAATATGTTTTAAACTCTACATAAAATTGAAGTGTCAATAATTGCGCCAATTTTCATAAAGTTTGTGATTTTGTGAAGGTCGGGCGGAATTTTTTATTATTATTTATTTTTAAGCAGCGTTATAAATAAAATGCCGAAAATTCGCAATTGTCGCGTACGCGGGTGCGATAGTAACAATGGTGGGGTACTACGCTTCTTTCGTTTCCCAAATGAATGTGGGCTGGCTGAAAAGTGGAAGGAGAATCTAAAAATTTCTCCCACTGACCACGTTCCAGCCACCAACTCATTCATTTGTGAGAAACATTTTGAGAAAGAGGCAATTGGCCCAAAGAAACTTAGAAGGAATGCTGTACCGACATTGCATCTGGGTAAGTGCATTTCAGTTTTTATCTTGTGG